TGAAAAATCGTTCCTACCATGAAACATCTGTTTATGAAAAATTATCGGAACTAGACAAGGGACTGTTCTCACAGCCGACGCCCACCTGCAACTGCAAGACTGCAGTGTTGCAGCTGCAGTCAGGCAGACGTGCACATTGAAATCGAATTTGGATCAAATCAAAGACTCCCCTTGTTAGTCGAGACGGAGTAACTGGATAAGGATACGCTTTGCTAGAAGTGATCGGAGTGATATGTTTGGGTACCCTAACTTGTTCATGTCCACGATACCCTGAACGTTCACCGAAGTTCGCTCGATACAGTAAATTCTCCCTAATTGACGCTTAGCTGGGAGACAAAAATGGACAATTTGGGAAGAAAAGGTACGATTAATCGAATCTTGTGGCTCTTTTTTTATAGTAGTTGACAATTGATAACTATAAAAACGAGCCGCAAGGCTCGAATAATCGTATCTCCTCTTCCCAAATTGTCCATTTTTGTTTCCAAGCCGAGCGGCAATTAGGCAGAATTGATCAATCATGCGGTCTTGCCTTTATTCGACACAAAAAGTAAGACCAGAGAAAGCAGAAACGAGTCGTTGAAGAGCAGAGCCTGTTCAAATATGTTATACTGTTTAATTAAATGTTGCATGACAGAATGCTGTCCGACAAGACGATCAGATGCAACGGTGCATCTGGGTCGTTTACAGCACGCGATCAAATTTATTGTAGACGCATTAGAAATTAATCAATTCCACGTGTTGCATTCTGATACCTAAAGCTTCAGTTTTCATTACATTATCTGCGAAACAAGAAACTTAATTAATCACTTGGCCGCGCTGTCGGATTATTAAGGTCTACAGGGTGGCGATATTTTTATGCGAAATTCGCTTAATTAACAGACCGCCGATATTCATGCGAAATACAAATTCTTTGCATTATTACGTTCCTTTTTTATCGATCTGTTTATATCTATCATTATAAATTCATTCGATCTCTTTACAGTTACAAATTTTATTTAGCCATTTTCGTTATAAAATCCGCAGTCTGTTAATTATGGAACGGACAAAAAGGGCGACAAATTTTGCGAGATTATGTTCGGGAAATAGCTGCGCTAAGATCGATGCGCTGATTGAAAATAAGCAGCAACGGCATGATCAATGGATTACACGCTCATTTTCAAAAGTATCAGGACACCTTTCGGTTTTAGAAAAACGGTGATATTTGATATTACATCTCACATGATAGTTGTGTTAAATGTTACACTAGCGAGAACATGTATTCAGGTACGAGTGAGAGCTATGTACATAGTTATTCTGTCCTTGCGTTTTATACACACACACACACTCGCGCGCGCGCGAGTCTTATTAAAAACGTGTACCGTGTTCCCGACGTTTCGCAACTTTGTTACGATTGCCGCGGGTTAGTTCCCCAAACGTACTAAAAAGTTTCCACAATGGTATTTTCCATAGGATTTTCGCTTGAAATTCTCGCCGCTGAAATTGGTTAATGGTTTCGTTACAGCGGACAAAATTATTACGAAAGTTCCAACATAATTGTACGCTTTATCAAAAACAGTGTTCCCCCCTCCTCCCACCCCTCGCAGAATTTCATATTAATCGTCTTACACGGTACAAATATATATATGTATGTATGTATAGGCACGAATAATCTTTCGACTGTTAAATACACATATATATATGCGAACTATTGTTATTATTTTTTTTAACAGTTATCGTTCCCACATTTCCATTGCGTCCGTTTTATTCAACGTTTCTCTCGCAACGTTTTCTTGCACCTTTTTCCCCTATCTCCCGTCGTAATTCATGCACGTTATCGATCATTATTATCATCATTATCCCGCGTTACACACGCGCGCACGGAAAAAAAGCACGCTGTCGTGTCGAAACGTCATAAACGAGCGTATCAACGGTCGCGTCGGAAATGGAAAATTATTTATAACTTCGAAAAAAAAACCAATCGTTCCCACCGGCTCTCGCGAGTTTTATCTACTTTGTAACAGCTTCGAATCCTTAATTGTTTATCTCCTTTCCGTAGATACTTCCATCGTTAAGTTTAATCTTATTGTACATACGTAGTTCGTAAGATTTTTAAATATCGATTACATAAATTACATCGTCCGGAAGATTACTTCTATGCAGCAATTTTTACAGATTTAATTTCCTAACGATCTCATCCGAGTGTCCTGATACTTGTCGAATAACGAACGACGCCGTACACCGTACAAATGGTATGAAGATTGTCTCTCTCTGTGTGTGTGAGTGTATGTGTGTGTGCGTGTGTGATCTCGCGATTTCAATCACGATGCATTCGATCCACGAACCTCGAAGTCGAACAAATATTTGAGCCGTTTATTTTGAAAGTGGCATAAGTCACTTTGTTTTTAAGTCGATATATTTTTGCGTTTTAACAAGTTTCAAAATATGGATGCTAACTTTCGAGAAGATTTACTTGTATTTGTTATCTCAGGATACTGATATTTTTCTTATATATAATAATTTAATATAAATTATAATATATAATATATAAATAAATATATTATATTATTATATTATAGTAATATATTATATATAATATATTAATATATTATAGTAATATATTAATATATTATAGTAATATATTATATATAATATATTAATATATTATTATAATATATTATATATATTATATATATACATATTATAATTTAGTATAATATTCTTAATATATAAATAATTTCGTATAAACATTAAAAAATCACCACTTTTCATTACGGTAAAGTGACTTATGCCACTTTCGAAATAAAGGGCTCATTTGTCGATTTGCGCCAGCTCCAACAAAGAAATGATCGACCAACCGTTATTACCTCGAGAAATTCGTCAGGTTATCGATAATCGAATGAAATCTGTTCTTTCGCTTCAAACGATCGACACCCGAATCATCGATATTCAAAGAAAACTACGATTTCTCTTCCTACACTAATTACAACCTCTTGATAAGTTTTATACAAAGGTAAAAAAACGTACATCGACTCGTTTGCGTTAACTCTAATGACAAATGAAATCTTATCTCCATTCAAAATAGGCGAATGCAGTAATGTCTCCCTTACTGACGCTCAGATTGTCCACCAAAATGGATAATTCGGGGAAGAGAAGATACGATTTATTCGAGCATTGCGGCTCGTTTTTATAATTGTGGACAATTTATAACTATGCAAATAAACCGCAAGGCTCGAACAATCGTGTCTCCTCTTCCCGAATTGTCCATTCTCGTGCGCAATCTAAGCGTCAGTAAGGGAGACATTACTGTACAACGTCTGAATGAATGTAATTCGATCGCGTTCGAATGTCTGAAACGACGTGGCGATCGCAGCACGAAGAAATTAATGGATTATCCAGGTGACTCACTTTAAACGCGCCACCCTGTAGACCGTTTGATTCCGCGGTTCGGGAACGTTTCCGCGGATGCGAATATTCCGCTTGTTCCTGCGGAAAGAAAGTTACGTTGACACAGTTCTTCTTTCCCTTGGAACGTTGATGGAACGGGGAAGGAATCGATCGCGATCTGTTTCGGCGAAAAAGGTATGTTGACACAGTTTTCGCCGGTAACGTGGATTAAGGAATCAATCAAGGTGCGCTCCGACGGAAACTACGTTGACACAGTTTTTGCTGGCTCGGCGGATTAAGGAACAAGGGAACGGAACGGCCGTATGCAAATCGGTCTCCCAGCTTTCGTTACACCGCGGAGCCCCGCTCGAACTAATCAAGTAATTACAGTATTCCTCGTATATAATCAAGTCGCTTGGCTCGTGTAAGACGATTACCGAGATCGATATCGGCGCTATTACGCGATTATTTCGTCGGCCGGCGACTCGCGCTCGCCTTACCGGCGAAGATAAAGAGGACTAATGACCCGGAAATTAATGCGAATTCTCCCATTTCCACGGGTCTCGGGTCCGCCGAAATCGAATTGTTTCGATGGAATGCCCGACACAACGTTGCGAAATGACCTGCAACGATTGCTCGAATTTATTTGCTCGCCATTTCGACGGGGTGCATTCCCTTCTGCATCAAGATGCTGGAGAAAAAACTGCGAGGACTCGCTTTACCGTCCCCCGTTCGAATTATTTCAGCACCGTGGAAGTATAACGAACTTGCGTAGTATCAAGAATTGCGGGTACAGTGGCTCGCGAAAGTGTTCGTACACCTTTTTTAAAAGGTAATAACTTCTTTAATAACTCACACAAATGACTTGAATTTCTTTTTAGGTGATAAAAGAATTAGAAGATTAATTTTGCTATTATTACCTGGGACGACAACAAAGATAAGAGACTCTGGAAAAAATGCAAATCACTTAGGTCCAGTTTTAAAAAAGTGATCGCGTTTTGAAAGCTGTACGAACACTTTCGTGGATCACTGTACGTCTCGAAGATACAATCGCGCAAAAAAATGTCCATTGCTGCGAACTCCAGATAGTTAAATTTTACCTGTTTGCAAATCTACGGGGTGAACAACGTGAATCGATGAACGTAGAAACGTCGGTTATCGAGCAGAAATCATTTCTGATTAACTGTTTCGTTCGCAGAACCAACCAAGCCATTTCGATTAATCGAGTCACGTTGTTCACCGCAGTCCCCGCGGCCAATTATAGTTTAAACAAGCCTCGGAAAAACAAGTCCGTTAGGCTGAAACGAGAGACCCGGACACTCGTGTTCCCGTCGAATGAAGCTTTAGACTAATTGGCGATACGAGATACGGTAAATTCTCCCTAATTGACGCTCGGCTTGGAAACAGAAATGGACAATTTGAGAAGAAAAGATACGATTATTCGAGCCTAGCTGCTCGTTTTTGTAGTTGCTGACAATCGGCAGCTATAAACACGAGTGGCAAGGCTCGATTAGGTCCAAATTGTCCATTTCTCTTTCCAAGCCGAGCGTCAATTAGGAAGAATTTACTGCACCGCCACTGACCCGCTAACAGGCCGTCGGACACTTTCTTAACTCTCTCTCTCTCTCTTTTCTCTCTTTTCTCTCTTTCTATCTCACTCACTCACTCACTCACTCACTCTTTTTCTCACTTTCTCCAACACGCGATCACACGAACGAAAACAGAACAGTGTTAGTTCGACGATTGTCCCGATTGATAGAAGACGCCAGCGTCTGCGTTTTAACGTTAGGCCAGCGGAGATTCAGATGCAAGCCTCGATGTGCACGTTCGTCATCTCGCTGGCCCTCAGCTGGTTGTTCACGTGCAGCTCCGAGGATGCGTTGCTGTGCACCAGGTCCTGCTTCCTGTGCACCTGGTGCAGGTCACGGACAGGCCCTATCGCCACGCAACAGCTTTCCAAGGTCTTCTTGAAGGCCGCTCGAAAGTCCCGGTTGAAGTAGGCGTAGATCAGCGGGTTCAACGCGCTGTTGAAGTAGCCGACCCAGAAGACCACTGCTACCACCGCGTCGCTGCTCTCGCAGGTGTCGCAGAGAGACGTGATGATGTACCTGCCGACAGACAATTAGGAGAACTGTCAGATGCGGACACGGAACACTTGTCCGATGGCGAGTTCATGTTTCTTTTTTTTAGGAATATTAGACAAATGATGCAGGGATCGCGTCATTTTTGTTCATACGTTTTCGAGGAGCTGTTGTTGAAAAGCTGTTGTTGTTCGTGTTTTATCTATTGTGTCATCTTTACAGGGTTATTTTACACACGACTGCTGACTCTAAAATGCAGGATTTTTGTAGAAATTGTTACGTGTATCTTTAAATGAGAATTTCATTCTTCTGGAAATAATGCAGAAATAATAATTATAATTTATATAATAATGTAAATAATATGTATAGTATATAATAATATAAATAAAATATATAATATAAATAGTATAAATAATATATATAATATAAATAGTATAAATAATATATATAATATAAATAGTATAAATAATATATATAATATATAATAATATAAATAATAATTTTAACGATTTTTAAAGCCGCTATCATTTTGACTTTACCTTGACATATTATTTTACATGTCTGCAAACAATCATAAATTTCATTTGAGTATTCTCTTTTCTATTTATACACGTTATTAATTGTATTATTATATTATTATCAATTATATTATCACAATATTAAAACACGATATTAATTGCACGATTTTTATGAAAATTATAAAACGCATTCAAATAGCCTCCTTCTAAGAACAATGGAAAATCCATATGCAGTATATTTCTCCTAATTTCCCTTCAGCTTGTAAACGAAAATGGGCAATTTGAGAAAAGTAGATACGACTAATTAATACAATCGTGTCTCCTCTCCTCAAATTGTCCATCATTTTTACAAGCTGAAGAAAAATCAAGGAGAAGTTAGCTCGTTTAAACTCCTTCCGCGAATTCGCAAGAATTACTATATATATTTATGTTTATACACATTTATAAACAATTCAGTTCGCTATCGCGTCGTCTCGGTCTGTTATTTCCGATTCAGCGAACTCGGAAACGGACAATTTTGCAGGAAACATCGTCCGTGGCAAGAATTCCCACCACTTTAGCGGATGAATAGGTCTATCGACGTCCTCCCGGTTGCAATCGAGTAAGGGAGGTTCGAAGATCCAGCGGATCCACAAGTTCCCCCTGGCTACCGATCCCAGAGATTTTTCTCGGCGATATCGGTAACGAGTGTCCCATCGTTTTCTGTGGCGTTTCCGCGCGTTACCTGCAACGTGATTCGAATAAATAGGTCGCTGCGGCGTAGCCGGGCGGTGCAGCGCCGCCTTTCCTCCTCTTTACGAGCGCATGCAGTTTCAAACCGTCGGAGTCTCTCGCGGTGCTCGTTTCATTGTTTCGGTTCTGCCGCGAATTTCCGAGACGTCCACGGAGATTGAAATATCGCCTCGGATAAGCGCGGCGGCGAACTTCTTGCCGCATGTTCGCGGAAATTTTCTTGCCGTTGCACTCGACTACGGTGTCGCTCCCCTTCGACTGTCTTTCTGAATGCTGGAAGTTCCGGATTGTGCAGTTCGAGTTTTAGGCAAGTTGGAGTTTACGCTGTACGACTCGGAGATAGCGCGGTTGCTTTCGTATCGCTGGGCCGCGCTGCAGATCGTTCATTTTTATGGTTCCTCCCGTTAATTTAGCTTCTGAGAGTCGTTTAAAGCGATCGAGGATGGAAATTGGAAACACACGCGAAAATGCGATTTTCGGGAAAACGATTTCGGTGTTCTCGTTAACGCATTATTTATTACTATTATTTTTTACTATTTATATATATTTATTTATATATATATATTACTGTTATAATATATTTACATATAATATATTTATTATAATATATTTATATGTATATAATTACTATTTATATATATATATAATATATTACTATTATTACTGTCATAATATATTTATACATAATATATTACTATTTTCTGGAAGAGGCGGCCATGATTTGGCGATTTATGTGACCTTCTCTTTCATAAATGAGATAAAATCGTAAAAAGAGACAATTTTGTTCACTAAAGCTTGCCAATTTATTACAAATTGTTCAACATATTATTTCGAAGATGAAGCAAGATAAGTACAAAAATAAAGACAAAATTTCTATTAATATATATAATATTTATAGATTATATATAATATTATATAATATATTATTATAATATTATATAATATATTATTATAATATTATTATTATATATTATATAATATATTATTATAATATTATTATTATATTTTAATATTTCTGTATGTTGGAAATAAATAACATCGTTTGAAATTCATTCTGCTATAAACTGTTCCTCAAAAACGGTAAATAAAAAAGACCAAATAATAGAGGTGTAAACTTCAACATTCGA